ATACATACACTTTTTTATCCTTCAGAGTGCCTTCAACCCATTTTTTTTCAGCCGGGTTTCGTAGCACATAACACAAACACACACACACGCACAACTAACACACACATAACTAACCTAAAAGATTCTGTATATGACAGATAGCACTGGGAACTGTATAGCGCCTCTATCCCAAAATCTCGGAACTAATCTATAGCTCTTTTTTACCTTATTTTTTCTATATTGCACCATGCTTTACATAAATCTGGAAAAGGGTGGCGTTTTGAAAATAAGTCTCTAAGCTCTATTTTTTTGGTTTTCCATTATTGTTTCATACGCTCTTCTTCGGCACATGGTCTTGTTTTGCAGATTGAAGCAGTATAATTTTGATATAAAAGATATAATTCTTTGAGGTGACATTGTCGGTAAATTTTCAAAAATTTTTTTTATTTTTTGGTTTAAATTTGACCACCTGCCGAAAGATTAGCATATGTACTTTATTTACACCAAAGAATTTGTAATTCTATTAAAGCAATAAAAAACGCCACCCTTTTTAGAAAATTGAAGTTTCGGTCGGTAACAATATGACTTCAGCATCCTCTTAAGTGTGAGGAGCATAAAAGAGATAAGGCGTATATTCTCCTGATTTATAAAAATGCAAGCGTGAAGCGATGAAATGAAGATATCGGCCCGATGAACACATCGCGCATTGATTTCAGGGCTTGTTAGGACACGCTATCATTACGAGCGGGCGTTAAAATTACAACCCTGCCGACACGGCCAACGGCACGCCACGTGTTGATCGGGTGTGATACAAGTTCGGCGATGGACCGATCGCCCAAAGAGGACGGTCATTTGCATGCAGATTGGATCGAAGCTTTCGGCTGCGAGAGACCGACCTCGTCCTCGTAACTCTGTCGCCGATTATTCTTATTATTATTATTACTGCTCGCGACGCGGCCTTCGCTGTAATTTCCCAATTAACCGCGAGCATCGACATCAATCATCGTCGGGCTTTCGCCAAAATGACAAGCGGGCGTTTTTAGCGGGAATTTTATACCCGCCGAGACGTTCATTCTCAAAGCGAGTCCGCGAGTTGCGAGACTCGCGCTTTTTATAGCGTCGAATTATTTGACTAGGCGCCCGTTTCTGGAGTCTCACGAAAGCGTGAGATCGTTCAGCCGCCCGTAATCATGTGTAAACACTCGTTAGGCATACACGCCGTGAGTAGTTAGCGGATCAACACAGTTTAAGGCAGCGATTACTTCATCACGCGCTGTGTACACGCCGTTAATATTGTCTTATAAACACCACGCCGTGCCGTGTAACGCCCCCACGCTCTCGCCCGCAGATGATATGCACCCAGGCGTGTAAACGCGTGTGTCAGAAGTCACGGGGAAGATACGAGAAAGGAAGAGGCGCGAGATGTTGCACAAGCGGGAGCATTAATCTCCCTCTCGCGTCAGCGAAGCGAGAAACGCGCGAAACGAATTATCGCGTTATTTTATCGGCCCCGCTACGCCCAAAGGGCACGCAAGAAAGGCCGGCGTACAGTGCGCGAGCCTTCCCTTCGCGATTCCACTTCTAGCTTAATGTAACAAAATCTCGAGATTCAAGTCTCAAATTTAACAAAATTACAATTTTTATCTTGCGATGGATTTAAGAATCTTATACATCAAAAGCATTGTAACATCCGAGAATTCTGCGAACGAAGAATCACAGCAAATTTCATGGATTTTAAAGTTTAAAGTTCTCGGGTAACCCTGCAAGAAGGATTAGATAACAATCGTTTACTGATGCGATAAAAAATGGCATGACGTGAGAAAGTCAGCGACGCTCGGGCATTTGCGATTGCGGAGCCCTAAGTGGCGGCGTTTAGGGCCGCGCGGTTTATAGCAGCTGATGTTAATTACGAGGCGCCAGATGTGAATGGCCGCCTTGTTCTGAGGTGGCACTCCACTCTCTTCCCATTCTTTCTATTTTTTTTTTCTCGCTCCTCATCCTTCTTGCGCGTGCCGCGGAAATGCCGCGTTTCCGCTTACGGTCTCTTCAAACTGGCGCCGTACAGATTGATTCATATCTAATCCACGTAACTCTCAGAAGCTAATGAAGGAACTGTTTCAAGTTTGATAAGAAAGATAGATTTTGAAAAAATATCAAATGTAAGAAAAGATTAATCGTGAATCTATTTTTGTCAGGATATTTTTTTTTTGATTCTGCGAGTTTTCATTTTCTAGCAGCGTATTTAAAAAATTTGAATATTAATTATGTTTATTCTAGTTACTTATTTCAAAGTTAATCAAGTGGAATTGATATATCTTTTTTTTTTGCATTAATTTATATTATTACACTTTATAAGCCTGACAAGGATGTTAAAAATGTTTGTAGGCCGAACGTGTGCAGGTCGAGGTACAAAAACTATTGTTGTCCAGGATGGTCGAAGAAGCCGGAAACGGGCCTGTGCGTTATTCGTAAGTAGAAGTATAAGCTCTTACTTTTTATGAAGCTTATAAAGTAAATATAATTATGTCTTTCCTTTAAAAAAAAGAGTAAATTAAGTAATATTTTAATTAAGTTATATTTATAATTGAAGAAAGTAGTGTTTAAATTATAAAACAGCATTGGCACTAAATAATATTAATAGCCGTGTTGGTGGCAATAAGCGAGCGACGACCGAGAGGACATAAAAATCCATATCCTTATGATCCTGACGCGATTGGACCACCCGTGAGATACGTATATCCGTGTATATTCGCGGAATCGAAAGCGGTTATTAATACTGCGCGAGAGGAACCACCTATCATTATCGGTGTCGTCTGCGAACGATGATAGTGATCGATGCAATTACGTAACGGACAAATGGGCATTTGTGCGACACGAGCGGTCGCGTCGAATAAAACTGGTTTAATGACTTGTTATGCGCGCTTCCTGTTGATTGTATTGTCTGGTAATGCGGTCGCGATCTGCGTTCCATCAATTTCCGGACGTCTGACCAAATATTATTAATCATTAATTGATTTATAATTAACAAATACTGTTACGCGGATGTCGCCCAACGTCGTCTTCAATTAAGAATTCAAATTAATGATTACGGATTTATAAGAAGATGCAATGTTTATGTAATAAATTAAAAGAAACTTATGTGTCGCAAAAAATTATATAAAAATCTCTGAATTATTTTAATACTTTTTTTTCTTTAGGTTAGTCTAATATCTATCTTCATTTAACAAATAATAATATTAATACTAAGAGAAATCAAGATATCAAGTTTACATTCAAAATATTTTAAGCGTTGCTCGTATTTTAGCTGTTTGCGCAAGACGCTGTGGCTCCCTAGGAAAATGTATAAGACCCAATATTTGTTTATGCGAGGGTGGTGTCGTCGCTTCAAGTTGTACGAACGGGCAAAGCAAAGGTGAGATATATTATTCAAAAAATAACCAAAAATACACAATCCAAAAATTGACGCATTCTAAAAACTCAAAGTCTTCTCATCTAATAACTTTGCATATGTTATATTAATGAGAAGAAAAGCATTGATAACAATATCACAGTAGAAAAACCAAATCTGTATCTTGAATATTATAAATTTATCCATTATTATTTTATAAAGACAAATTACAGACTTAGAATTACTTGATTAAAATGCGGCAATTTTCTCATTTAAATGATTGATTAGTCATTAAATGAGTCAAGCGCAGTATTATAAGACACGTTGAGCCGTATATCGGTAAAAACTATTAACACACGAAAGACCGATCAATCAATTGGTATCGAGCGAAGCGGAAACTTGTACGACCGGATTAAAATAAACGTCTTTTCGCTGCTCGTATTCCTCGCTAGATAATGAAAATAATGAATATTATTAGAGATTCAACACAGTAGTTTCATTAACAATGATTATTCAATAAATTTGTGATCGACAGTTATCGTTTCCGAGACCGGAAATGGCGCAAACGGCGACCGCGGTGAAAGCGGTAGATGTAAAGTCCATTGCATAAATGGAAACTGCGTTGATGGCCGCTGCCAATGTCGCAGCGGATATCAGGGAGAGTTCTGCAACGAACGTAAGTGGAATTGACAATGTACGAACATGAAAAAAAATTTCAGGGCATAAATATACCGCGAAATCAAATCGATTGGCCACAAAAATCATTAATTAAAAATCGTTAATTAGCTATTTGCCGAGAGCCCTGTCTGAACCAAGGAAGATGCATCGGTCCAGATCGTTGCGCCTGTATTTATGGCTACACCGGAAGACGCTGCGAGACCGATTACAGGTAATAAATACACCTTCGCGGCGAAGGAGGGTTTCGCTTTATTGTAAATTGTGTATTTCAGAACCGGGCCCTGTTTCACGAAAGTGAAAAACGGTCAGTGCCTGGCTAGTCTTCAAGGCGTCGTCTGCACACGACAGTTGTGCTGCGCCACCGTTGGCAAGGGCTGGGGTCATCCTTGCGAGAAGTGCCCTGCCAGATTAGACTGCGAACTGGGTTATCTGAAGACCAATCAGGGCCAATGCGTCGGTGCGTTCATGCTCATTTCTAATTATTCTTTATGCAATTAACTTTAATTGGTAACATAAAAAAGTAACTAACAGCAAGACACGTTTCAGGTTCATTGTTTCGTTTTTACATTCATCTAATCGATTTGTGTGCAAAGAATTAAAAATAGCAAAATTCAAATTCTGAGTTTTGAAAAGTCTCACACGTCGATAGAGATTAAAATAAAAATAAAATCTCTGCGCTCCTTTTAGATATCAACGAGTGCGAAGCGATCCCCGGACTCTGTCAAGGCGGAAAGTGCCTGAATACTCCCGGTTCGTTCACTTGCGAATGTCCTGTGGGACAAGCGAGGGATCCCGACACCAACGAATGCAAGGACAGAGACGAGTGTCAGGAAGAAGGCATCTGCGCCGACGGTCGTTGCATAAACACAAACGGCGGTTATTATTGCCACTGCAATCCCGGATTTATACAGAGCCAGGACCGCAAATATTGCATCGGTGATTATATTATTAATATAAAAACATTATAAAAAAAATTTTGCCAAAGTTCATCTTTGTGAGCGCAACTTCCTCAAAATAAGTTCTAGATATTTTCCAAAGAGTTCTTCTTTGACTTTTAAAAAGAAACAAAAACAACTTAAAATGTATACTTGGATATATTATGAAATAATAATAGAGAAATTAGATTAAGTATATTAAAAATTTGTATTGTTTCCGATCTAGCATTCTGCGCTAATAATAAAATTTGATTTCTTCTTAAAACTCTGATATTTTTGTTAATTCGATCCACTTATCAACTTTAAATAATTATTGCTCTCTAGATGGCAGACAAGGGTTGTGTTACACAGCGGTGAATCGCAACGGACAATGCAGAAATCGACTAGCGATGAGACTAAGCAAGAAGGACTGTTGCTGCGGCAAGAACATGGGTCGAGGATGGGGCGACGAATGCTTTATCTGTCCTAATCCAGGCAGTGGTACGTGCACATTTTCAGGGAAGAATCCAGATGCATATTTAGATAGTTTATATGCAGAAGCTGGGCAAAAATATTTGCATAACTTTTGGAACAACTTCACATGCGAAATAAATAGTAAATTAAAATCCATCTCGCTAAGCCGCGAAATTTTCAATATACATATTACAAGAATTCGTCGAATTACAACAGTGAGCTAATTTGCAAAAAAAAATATCGTTGAATAAAAAATTCCGAAGCAGAGTAGAAGCGATAGATTCGGGGCTCGCAAAAAATCGACGAATACCAGCGGGCGCTACGTAAAAGCTAGATAAAAGCAAGCACTACGACGACTGGCAATTCTACAGGATCCGCATTATTACTCAATTGTAGACGATTACAACAGGCTTTGCTCGCAACTGCAGTCGATCACCGAGGTGAACGAGTGCGCGCTCCGGCCGGACATCTGTGGCCACGGGAAGTGCATCGACATCAAGGAAGGATACGAATGCGAATGCGATCTGGGATACGCGAGGAAGCCCGGCGGTAGGTGCGAGGACGTGGACGAGTGCCAGTTAGATTACTGCCAGGGCGGAATCTGTCGCAATTTTCCCGGCAGCTTCGCCTGCGACTGCCCGCCCGGCTTCGTCGTTTCCGGCGAGGGCAGATACTGCACCGGTAACCATCGTTTAAATTCTTCTATGACAAAATAATTGTAACGTTAATAGTAGTTTTAATAAATTTGAAATTAAAAAATGTTCTTCGGATAATCAATATGTGACATATATTTTTTTGTAATGTAGCTCTAATCAGTGCTCTTCGTAAAATAAAGCGCGGTTAATGTACATTTGATAAACATGTAAGATTTGATAATGTCTTTCTAGATCACGATGAATGCCAGGACACTGGCATGTGCTCCAACGGACATTGTATCAACATGAACGGGTCCTTCAAGTGCAAGTGTAACGACGGTTACACGCTGTCGCCGACTAGAAACACTTGTATAGGTGAGATATAGTTACTCACTTTGCATTATATAAAATATTTCGAAAGGTTTATCATAAATTTCGGAAACGTATTCTCCGACTTTTATTTTATTTCTTGGAGTTGATTTTTTAACTTATCGAGTCTCGATAAATAAATTAAAAAAACAAATTTTGTAGTATTTCGTTTGGAGGATATTCTAAAATAGAGTGAGAACGTAATCTGTTCGATTTTTTTTTCAGACATCAACGAGTGTTTGGAAAATCCGAGAATTTGCCTAAACGGTCGCTGCGAAAACACGCCGGGATCCTATCATTGCATCTGTCAATCAGGCTTCACTCCTTCAAGGGACAATACCTTCTGCGTGGACATGGACGAGTGTTCCACCAGTGGAATGTGCGAAAACGGCAAATGCGTCAACATGGAGGGCTCCTTCAAGTGCGTTTGCGACTCCGGCTTCAGGATCGGTCCCGATCTGAGCCACTGCATTGGTATTAATCTTACAGCTAACAGTTTCGATAATTTTGCAATACAAGGTCTTATATTTTCAAAGTCTAATATTTTCTGTTACATCCTGACTTGAATGTTTGTTTTATACTAATTATATACTTATATGTCGTTATTCGTTTCGCAAGATATCGACGAGTGTATAAGCTCGCCCTGCCAAAATGGACGTTGCGTCAACACGCCCGGAAGTTTCCAGTGTGAGTGCCATCCAGGATTCAACCTGGGCCCCGACGGCAGATCCTGTTTAGGTTCGTACGACTTATTTTCTGCTCTAAATATATTATATATGAGCATTTTCAAAATCTGGATGTGTAAATGAAATCTTGTTTTAAATTTTTAACAAAAAAAAAAACAAGATTTTATTGAAAGAAACAATGTCATGTAAATGACATGATTTGTTTATTAAGCAAATCTAACTGTTTAAATCAATTTCTGTCGGATGATTCCACGCTGATCAGATACGAGAAGAGATCTGTGCTATTCGCAGTACAGAGACGGCCAGTGCTCCAACCCGACGTCCACTGCCGTGACAAAATCGAGTTGTTGCTGCTGCACGGTGATCTTGGGCCAGCCGTTGGGCTGGGGCAGCACCTGCCAACCCTGCCCGCTACCGGACACTTCGGAGTTCGAAGCCTTGTGTCCGCACGGAGCCGGAATGACTTACAATGGCGACGGTAAGAAATTGCAACAGGCATTTTTCCTGACGATTCCCTTGAAAATCCCTGAATTTTTAAATAACACCAACCTTCGCAAACACCGATGTTTCATAAATTTCTAGAATGTTAATATCCCGAAATTCGAAGTTTAAATAAATAATTTTGACAATTTCCATTAAATTGACAGAATTTTTCAATAAATTAATAGAATAAATATAATTTGCGAATAACGCAAAGTATGAATTTTATTAGACATCAACGAGTGCGCTCAGAATCCAAATATTTGTATTAACGGCGGATGCGAGAATCTTATGGGAACATATCGGTGCATTTGCGATAACGGATACGAAGTGGATGCGACAGGAAAAATATGCAGCGACATTAACGAGTGCGAATTGGAGGATTCCTTGTGTAGCGGTGGCCAGTGTCGAAATACACCCGGTAGCTTCCAAGTGAGCTAATTATTTGTTTAACTCATATTGTGTAAAAAAGAAATATTTATCATAAACTCTGTCGATTGCCTGATTTAATTAATTTACTTGCATCATATTTCTGTATCTTTTTCTATATTCTTGTATTACAGTTCGATATTTTTTCTTGCATTATTCTACGCACCTCGAATTAATTAAAATAAAATCTATTTGGCAAGTAAGATCGTCTTATATTCTGATTATTATATTTTCTTAAATAATTGAATAATATTTCAGTGTATTTGTCCGACGGGAATGAGATACAATACGCAGAATCAAATGTGCGAGGACATAGACGAGTGCGAGGAGTTGGGACCGGACGTGTGCTTCAATGGCATCTGCATTAACACTCCGGGCGCTTACGAGTGTGAATGCTCTCCGGGATACATTCTCGACAACACCGGTCACATTTGCATGGGTACGAGCGAATTAAATGCCAATGAAATAAGCTCGCTAAATGAGACAAATAAAGATCAACAAATAAATGGATAAATAAGATAAACAAACACAGGATCCTGATTGTCTGGTTTCAGACAATCGAAGAGGCTCCTGCTGGACCAAGATGATAGATGGTCGCTGCGAGAACAATTTACCGAGACTGGCCCTGCGTTCGGAGTGCTGCTGCTCGGTCGGCGTGGCTTGGGGCAGCCCTTGCGAAATCTGCGATCACACCTTCTGTGAGTGTTCGAAGGGCTACGCGAAAGTGGACGGCAAAGGTTGTGCGGATATCAATGAATGCGAGCTCAACAGCGGAATCTGCAAGGGCGGCACTTGCGTTAACACCGACGGCTCATATCGGTGCGAATGCCCGCCTGGCCTCACCTTGGACGCGACACGTAAGTAACGATGCCGATATCAAAGCTCTCGTTAAAAGTTATATCAAATTTCTGAAAATTATATAAAAATCTTGAAAATTCTAAGAGTCGGAAAAATCTTTCTACAAAATCTCGAAGTGTTTAAATATATGAAACGTTTGAGATTCTTGAAAGTAAAATTATCGTATGCATCTATTAATAAATATTGAATTTCTAATTGGGAATATTGAAATATAATTATAAATAGAAATAGTATCTTGTGCAAAACATTCTACATGTTTTCCTCAATTCATCGATAACAGACAGCACTTGCATCGACACCAGACAAGAAACGTGCTACTTGGATTATCGCCACAGTCAGTGCAGCAGTCCCATAGAGGGTCATTTCTCGAAGATGCTCTGCTGCTGCTCCGTGGGTCGTGCCTGGGGCACCGATAAATGCGAGCTATGTCCCAAGATAGGCACGCCGGCTCACGCGGAGCTGTGTCCGCGCGGGGATGGCTTCACCGAGCGCCAGGATATCAACGAGTGCGTCGAGTTTCCGGGTATGTGCCAGAACGGCAGATGCAAGAACACGATCGGCAGCTACAGTTGCAGATGCAACCAGGGCTACGCACTCGACGAGCACGGTATCAAGTGCAACGGTGAGTGATTTCTTGAAGAATTTCAAAGCTCAGGATGAAGCAGTTTTAATTTTGAAGAATCCTAAGCTTTGAAAATGTAAAAATACATTTTTTAAATCGCCCAAGTGTCTAACTTTAACTTGCATTGTCCGGGAAAAATATCAAAGACCACTCGAGTAATAAAGATTTTATACGAATAAAAAGAAATAAAAGAGGAGAAATTTAATCTGCTCCGACAATAACTAGAATTAATTATACTCAATAAAATTTTTCACAATGTGTAGATATCGACGAGTGCGAGATCACGCATGGAGTGTGCGGTAACGGCACGTGCCGAAACACGCCTGGCAATTTCCAATGCGATTGCAGCCCCGGTTATCGCAGCAACGACATCATGAAGATTTGCATGGGTGAAAAAGTGTTTTCCTCGTCGAAATATTTTAAATTCAAGAATGAAGAATTGAAAATCGACATAAAATGTTTCAGATATAAACGAGTGCGAGGAGACGCCAGGATTGTGCCGCGGCGGCACGTGCGTCAACACCGAAGGAAGTTTCAACTGTCAATGTCCGCCGGGACACGAACTGGGCCCTGACAAGCAATCCTGCAAGGACATCGACGAGTGCTCGAGGACCAGCGGTATATGCTCGAACGGCGTGTGCGAGAACATGATGGGTACCTATCAATGCATTTGCGACGATGGCTATCAGCAGACGGGCCTCAGATCGCATTGCGAGGACATTAACGAATGCGCGATCGGCAATGGTGGCTGCGAGGATGTCTGCATCAACACGCCGGGCAGTTTCTCCTGCTCCTGCCGGTAAAAAACTATTATCCTTTTTTCGATTTTGAGTAAAAAAATCGAACACCAAATTTTTAAATTCTGAAACGACTTTGTTTTAAATTGCTATGCGCGATATTTCAAAGGCGAATCGATGAATAAACTCAAAATTTTGCACATCTTTCCGGAATATAATTCTCGAAATTTTAGGCGCAAAAAAATTAAGATTTATCGAGAAATATTTTTGTTTGCATTTAATTTAATTTCTGATCTAAGATATTAAAAATCAATTATTTGTATTTAATAATTTGTGACAGCACTGGCTACGCCTTGAACTTAGACGGTCGATCCTGCGTGGACGTAGACGAGTGCAAGGAGAATCCTCGAATCTGCAATGGAGGTAAATGCAGAAACACAGCGGGCGGCTACGTGTGCAACTGCACGAACGGTTTGTTACCCGGGCGAGACGGTATATCCTGCATAGGTAAATTCTCTCTTCACTGTTACTCACATATTAAAAATTATTATGTTACATATTCTCGAAGCTACACGTTTAAATAAAATTGTCAGATGTAGACGAGTGCGTGACGCAGCCGCGAATATGCGGATTCGGCGAGTGCTACAATACAATCGGCTCCTTCAATTGCCGCTGCGAGGAAGGATACTCGGTGAAGCCGGCGGAAGGACCAGCGTGCACCGACGACGACGAGTGCCGGTTGAACGCCTATTCCTGCAGCGAATTCGCCGAATGCCAGAACACTCAGGGCTCGTACGTGTGCACTTGTCACGAGGGCTTCACCGGAAATGGAATCGAATGCTGGGATATCAACGAGTGCTCCACGAATAACGGCGGCTGCGACTCTAACGCGCACTGCATCAACACTGAAGGTTCCTTCAAGGTATTTCGGCAAATTTTCGTAAAGAAAACAATTACGCATATTGTTATAAAATTTGGTACACACTTATAAATGTTTAAAGAGACTTCGTGAATCGTCAAAGCTCTTCGTTATTACATGTTGATGATGTCAATATGAACGTTTACTTAAAAGTATCTTTTTCGTTTTTTTTTTTAAGAAAGTACGTATCAGATTTTTTTGGAACTTTACATATCAATAATAATTTTGAATTCCAAAATATTTATAATTATTAAAAAATTAAACACAGAATTTTGAAATTTTAGTACAACTTTTTCTACAATATTAAAAAATAATTCTACTGATCTGTTTGCACATTTTTTGAGAATGTAATCACAGATTTCAAACGCAAAAATCTCAAAATTGATCGAGAAATATTTTTGATTTATATCTTATAAAATATAGTTAAGCAGTTTAATTGTATAATCTAATTTTATCAAAATAAAATTTTATACTTTATTAAATTTGACGATTTTTACAGTGCGTGTGCGACGCTGGTTTTCGGGGCGACGGTTATAGCTGCAAGGACATTGACGAATGTACGGAGGACAACACGCTCTGCGAGAACGGACACTGCCTGAATTATCCAGGAGCTTATCGATGCGAGTGCGAGATGGGTTTCATGCATCCGGACGAACACAACGAGCAAGCGTGTGTAGACATCAACGAATGCGAGATGTTCAACAACCTGTGCGTTTTCGGCCGCTGTGAGAACATTTTCGGCATGTTTCGCTGCGAATGCAACGAGGGCTACAAACTTGACAGCTCCGGCGGCAATTGTACCGACCTGGACGAGTGCGAAAGTCCGCAATCTTGTCAATATGGTACTTGCATCAACACGCAAGGCAAATACATTTGCAGGTGCCCGCCGCATCACGAGCTAGTGGAAGCCGGAAATGCTTGCGTCGGTAGGTAGATTGTTGTTTTTAATATTTTTGTGTATATTTATTATTTTTAACGTGTAATATTTTTAATATTCTAATATGTTTAATATTTTTGGCGTGTATTTTTAGCGTTTGTTGCACTGAATATTTTATATTTTGCGATACAGAGATTCGCGAAGTCTCTTTAAACATTTATAAGTGTGTACAAAATTGTTTTCTTTACGAAAGTTCCAAAAATAAACCATTCCTCGCACTTTAGAGTCGAATATCTCTGTGTATTAGCCAACGCGCTAACAGTTCGGCTACAACACCAAGCTGACTTATTAAAATCAAGATAAATCGGAAAATTAATTTTATCGCTCGGTATTATTATTCTGACTCACTGCTCGATCACACAGATAGACGCGAGTCGCTTTGCTTCACGGGTTACGAGCACGGCACCGGAAGACCGCAATGCGTCTTCGACATTGCGTCGTCGGTGACGAAAGCAACGTGTTGCTGTAGCATTGGTACCGCGTGGGGCAATCGTTGCGAGGAGTGTCCGCAGGTCGGCACGACGGAATACGACCAGCTGTGCCCTAGTGGCCCGGGATATAGACCGAATCGCGTGACTGTTATCCTGGAAGACATCAACGAATGCGAGGAACACGAGAATATCTGTCAGAATGGACATTGCACCAACACGTTCGGGAGCTTCATGTGCTCCTGCAACGAAGGCTTTATTCTAGACGACTCTAAGACCAGCTGCATCGGTAACATTTCGGAAAATCCATATTATTCGTTAATTCCTGTAATCCTTAAATATTATACGCAAACATATTATCGCAGACATAAACGAATGCGCGCTGCACCCAAGAATATGCGGCGTGGGATACTGCATCAATGACCAAGGAAAATACCACTGCGAATGTCCCGAGGGATACATGGCAATGCCCGGAGGAAGTCAGTACATCCAGATGGCAACCAAAAACCTAAATTATTTATTTAATTTTATAATTTAAATTTATTTTTTTATTTAATTTTACAACTGAAATTAATATCATTGTGTGTTGGACTTCTCGTACAGATAATTATATGACATAAAATTACATTATTGTAACAAATAATAAAAGCGTAAAACAAAATTAACGAAAACATCATCAGCTGAATGAATGATATTTGTTTTTCTAGAGGAGTGTGTTGACATGAGAAAGGAGTCTTGTTACCTGACTTACGACTCTGGACAATGCCTGAATCCCATGGTACAACCGCAGACCAAAATGTTATGTTGCTGTTCCATGGGTGCAGCATGGGGCAGCCTTTGCGAAAAATGTCCTGGTGAAAGAACCCGTACGTATTCAAAATAGCCAAACGATTTACGACTAAATCAAAGGAATAACGCGCGGATCTCACAGGTGAGCACGAGATTCTGTGCGGTTTGGTGCCGGGACAAATCATGAATCCGATCACTAATCATTCCGAGGAGATCGATGAGTGCGCTCTGATGCCAACGATGTGCACTCACGGTCGGTGCATGAATACCGTCGGCAGCTTCGAGTGCCAGTGCGATCGCGGCTTCGTTTACGACCAGGATTCGCATCAGTGCATCGACGAGAACGAGTGTTTACAGGTTACTTAATGCTTTCGCAGAATTAAATATGTCTTATCATATTAAACATTTGTTTAAAATTGATTATTTTAATTGTTACCAATTGAGAGATACTTCCAAGTTTAACTTTCAATGGTTTTTTTAAAGCAATGTAATTTTAAAACCAACTGTTATTGTTCTCAGATTCCAAATCCCTGCGGCGGGAACGCGCAGTGCATTAATCAGCAGGGCTACTTCGAATGCGTGTGTCCAGTCGGCTATAAACTCGGCCCTAGTCAGCGCGATTGCGTCGACATCGACGAGTGTTATGAGCGACCCGGCATCTGCAGTAACGGCGCGTGCAATAATTTGCAAGGCAGCTTTCAATGCGTCTGTCATTCCGGATTCTCGTTGACCCGTGACAGAGATAACTGCGTCGACATCGACGAGTGCCAGCGTAATCCGAACATATGCAACAATGGCACGTGCATCAACACTCTAGGCTCGTACAAATGCCAGTGTTATCAAGGATTCAAACTTAGTCCGAATAATGATTGCGCAGGTGAGTCGACAATAGTTTTTTAAGATCTTCGATCTTTTTAATTCTCACAATAAAATTAATAATTAAAATTTTAGCCGTGCAACGGCTCTCTCTTATGAGACATTTCTAAAGCAACAAAGTGTCCAAAATTTCTGTACAAAAATTTAATTCTAGAATTTTTAAAAATCAAAACACGAAATATTTGCAAAATATACAATTATGTAAATGTAATGTAAATTTAAGATCGATATTTTCAACATTTCTAGATAGTGGTATAATTTCAACTTTAACCGACTCATTTCAGATATCAATGAATGTCGAATAATGCCGTTTTTATGCCGAAACGGCCGATGTCGGAACACGATTGGTGGATTTGTTTGCGAGTGTGCAGACGGTTACGTGTTAGCGCAAGACGGCCAGCACTGCCGCGATATTGACGAATGTCATGAGGCATGTCTCTAAATCTTAAACAATTTGTGCGATTAAACTTTTTAGTAATTAATATTGCTACTGTATTGTTTTATCGCAGATACCAGGATTGTGCCCAGTTCCTGGAAAATGTCAAAATCTAATGGGATCTTATATATGTAGCTGTCCACCAGGATACGAACTGGATCATACGAGAAAAAAATGTGTCGGTTCGTAAATTTTCATCTTAAAAAGCATTTCGTCATTAATAACAATTTCGTAAAGAAAAATTCCTTACATAATTTGAAATTAATTTTTTCTTACAAATATCGAAGAATGTTATTCATTTTCACAATGTTTCAATCGTTAACATTATCTCATTGATAATTTTATATCTTGATAATTAATTGTGACTTTTAAATTCAAATTCTATAAAAGTAAAATCTATTTAAAAATTAATTTAAAAATGTAATTTTGTTATCTATATGCAATTATTTCATATCAACTGCTGAATATTGAGATTGTTGGTGCCTTAACATTTTTGTGGAAAAAATTAACTTCAAATTAATTCAGAAATTCTGAATATGTATGTGTACGAGATACTTTATACGTCAATGTAGAGCTGACATTTTCTAATAATTACATTTAATTTCAATTGTTTCTAATAATTACATTTAATTTCAATTGTTCTATAGACGTGGACGAATGCGTGGAGACGCGAGATATTTGTGAAAATGGACAGTGCATTAACACGGAAGGCGGTGTAATCTGCGAGTGTCCGGTCGGATATCGGCTAAGCGACCGGCCAAACTCGATGAGGTGCATAGACGTGAGGGAAGAGCAATGCTACGACAACTACAGACGAGGGCAGTGCACCTTTCCACGTGAAGGTGGAATGACCAAAAAACACTGCTGTTGCACGATGGGCAAGGCTTGGGGCCGCTATTGCGAACAATGTCCGCTGGAAAATAGCGGTAAAAAATACTTCCTTGAAAATTTGTTTAAGAAATTAGCACAATTAATTCAGAGTAGCAAACTTACAGTACCCTTGCTATAAATATTGCACCAAATATTTTTCAATATTTTAATTCAAAAAATATGTCTCGTCTTTTACAAGAGAAAAGAAAAGACGAACTATATTTGTTTGAAATTAATTCTTTCAATCTAAAGAAATGAGTCCAATTAAGAGATACTTTCAATTTCGGCTTCAAATTTTTAGCATAATTTTGCTGCTCAATTTTACAATTACACAATTCAAAAATATCATAATTATACTCATCAGATGAGTTCAAGAGGCTGTGCCCAGAAGGGCCGGGGCGGGACGACACGGGAATCGATCTGAACGAATGTCTGTTTATGCCTGACGCGTGTTCCGGTGGTGAGTGTATCAATACAGACGGCTCATTCCGATGCGAGTGTCCGACGGGGTACGCGCTGGACGAGACCGGGAGACGGTGTGTGGACAGCAACGAGTGCCTGAGCGTGCAGAATATTTGCGGCAACGGCACTTGCCGCAACATCGACGGCGGCTTCGAGTGCTCGTGCAATGACGGCTTCGCGCCGGGCGCTAATCAGGTCTGCGAGGATGTGAACGAGTGCCTGGAGATGGGCAGTCAGTGCGCCTTCAGGTGCCACAACGCGCCGGGCTCCTTCCGGTGCATCTGCCCGTACGGATACACCCTGGCGCCCGACGGCCGTCATTGCGTAGGTAATTGGAAACCATTGTCGTTAATATTCCGTTCGATTCTTTAGCGTTTTGAACGCATCGAATTTAAATTTGAAATAAAATTTCTATCGAAATATTTCGGGAGTTATTACAAATCGAAAAATTATTGAAAATCTAGAACATTTTAAAATATCTTGATCTTACAAAGTATTTCGCTAAAGCGCAATTTTTTTTGTCTAGACGTCGACGAATGCGCGACGCCGGCGAACGATTGCAGATTCCAGTGCAAGAATCTGATCGGCACCTTCATGTGCATCTGTCCACCTGGCTATCAGAAAATAGGAACGATAGACGAGTGCAAAGATATCAACGAATGCTCTATTAATTCTGGTCTTTGCCAACATGGTCGTTGCATTAATCTGGAAGGAAGTTACGAATGCCGCTGCTATGACGGTTTCGAGCAAAGCGCGGACGGAAAATCGTGCATCGGTATGATAATTGTAACATAAATAGAAAATACTGGATTGATGGAAAAGTAAAATTGTTCTATAAAGTTTAAGCTTATGCAAATGATCCAAAATTGTTGAATGACCGACGTTCATTCTTTCTGCCAGATGTTAGTTGTATTATCACTATTTTGAAACAATAGTTGAATAATAGTATGACAAACTTAAAAATGACGAAATAATGCTTTAATAATAATAATCAAATAATAAAAAAAGATATGCCTGCGATATTTTTATCAGACCGAAGAGTCGGCTATTGTTTCCTGCAAACGATCGGCGGCAGATGCACCGCGAGAACGTCGGAGCTGCGCACGGTTACCAAGGCGGACTGTTGCTGCACAATGGGAGCGGCATGGGGACCACATTGCGAGATCTGTCCGTCCAAAGACTCAGACAATTATAACGAGCTCTGTCTGGACAAAGGATTCTCCGTGGACGGACAAGGTATACAATTGAATTTATCTATCTTATTATTTGTTGCATTTGTAATTTTCTAATTATCCCCGAGATCTCGCTATTAATTAATATAAATATTCAGATATCGACGAATGCAAGACCATCCCCGATCTCTGCAGGAATGGTCTGTGCGTCAACACTCTCGGTTCCTACAGATGCATCTGCAACAAAGGCTACAAGGCCGACAAGTCTGGTATTCAATGTGTCGGTGAGTTTTTCCGCCGATCGCTTAAATATAATTATGATGATAATTATTTATATCGCTAAACTCAAATAGACATCAACGAATGCGAATTAACGCCGACACCATGCAAATACAACTGCCAAAACACCGAGGGCAGTTTCATTTGCTCATGTCCATCGGGCTTCATCCTAAATCCCGACGGCGTCAGCTGCCGAGATTTAGACGAATGCACAACCGAAAATCACTTGTGCCAGCAAAATTGCATAAACACGCCAGGAAGCTACTCCTGCGGCTGTCAAGAAGGCTATATTCAACAAGGCGACGCGTGTCATGGTTACGTATCTTTTTTAATATAATCGTTCCACTTAATCGTAATAAATAATCAATCGTATATTAATTGTTATATATTAATGAATAAATATATAACAATTTAATGTATAATATACTTTTTTCATTAGTCAATTATAAAATGTTTGTCTATAAATGATATTTTCTAAAATCTGTTTCTCAATGATACGATTAAAAATTAATGATCTGTTGCTTGAAAATATAATTACAAATTAATAATATAATTTTTTACAGATATAAACGAATGCGATCAGCCGGGTATTTGCCCGAGGCCTGGCAAGTGTATTAACACTCTGGGCAGTTTTCAATGCATCTGTCCGAGAGGCTTTAAGCTGGACCACACCGGACGATTTTGTACAGATCACAATGAGTGCGCCGACGATGCCAATTGCGAGCATGGCTGTCAGGTAAGCTTGATCACGTAAATCTGATTTGTGATAATTTCACACAAGCTAATATTTAATCTCTTCAATCA